GCTTGTTAAACTGTTCTGACCAACTACATGTGCCCTCTGACCCCATTGCAGTGGCCAAGCAACAAAAAACCACATTAGATGAAGCCACTGTGAATGCTGATTCTGGGCTTCAGCCTTAAAATTGAGTCATTTCACTGTCTCAGCAGGCTAGGTCATTCTTGTGGCACTTGCCATTCCTGAATTGGGAAGCATCAACTCATTGAAAAGTGTAATCTGCATTCACAGATACCTCAGGTCATCAACCAGGCATCCACCAGCTGATGGCCCAAGTGATCACTGCACTGCAGGTAGGAGCCTGCAGAGACCTTAGTAAGGGCAGCTATAACCCTTAATCTCTAGCAGTAGTGTGTGAGCAGAGCATGAGAGGCTTATCAACTTTCAGATTTTAGCATAAATTTCCAGAGATGAAGCTAGGCAAAGATCTTCCTATTACTCCTGCAGCACCTACAGTTTTATTCCATATTCTAAAAAGATGCCATTAATACCAAACCCTATGGAATGAATGTGGGATGCCACCATGTTAACCAAGCCACTATTATGAGTAAAAAAAATTTAGGTGGTTTAGGTAATTTTTCAGAGGCCGTGTAGAAGTGAAATAGCAATTCATCTAGTTAATGATTATGGGGAAAAAACAGGGCAGCTGACTGAGTTACTTAATTACCTCAGCCTCTCTGCCCTCACTTCTGTCTGTACCTACTCAGTCAAATTAACTCACTCAGCTTTCTCAGAAGAGCAAGGTCTGAGAACATCACTACCAAAGAGAGGCACAGATTTTGTGTTTTTGTTATATTCTCTTCATCTCTGTGTTTCTGGATGCAGAGGAAGGCTGGAGCTTTTTTGCAAGAGCTCAAAAGTAGGATTATTTGGGCTCTAGTGATGCCTCACTGTCATGAATTGATGTGCAAAACCCTATATAGTTAAAGCCACAACCTTGAAGAGCTAACAAACTTGAAAAGGGTCTTAAGGGGAAATATAGGGAAAAGCAATTTGGCTGAGGGTGCTCTGGAATTAAACGGCAGAAGTAGAAACAAACCCTGAGAACAGATACATACCCTTGGAGAAGTTGATGGGCATCAAAGCAAAGAGAGAAATTTGCATGTCTGTTTATTTCAATGGGAGTTGAGTGCCCATACAGCTGTAGCTAGCTACATCTTATTGTTGCTAAATACCTTTAAAAATCTGTCCTAATTTTATTTTGGGCCAGTGTACTGTGTCATTCCTCTGGCCACAAGAAGGATTCATTCATCCCCAGAAGAGCAGATCCTGAAATAGCGGGCTCAACTCTCTCATTAATTTCATCTTATTTGAGTAAAATATTTCATCCTACCCACAATTTTGCTTACAAAGTATCTATTTTGAAATGTCTTAACAGGGTTTATTTTCATTAGGCTCTAGCAGCCTTCTTGTACTAGGACTGACTCACTTCATACTATACTCCTGCAGGTGTAACTGCATTAAGTTCTGTGAAGTTATTTTTAGTTTACACTGATTATATAGGGCCTACCTAGTGTGAGTCACCTGCTAATTCTCTTCAGCATGAAGAAAAATAGATCTACTTGGTTCCAATTATTTTTTTTTAATGTAAGCTAAATTTAGACCTATGAATAATACATTCCACAGCAGGTAACAGGAATTAAAGGGATGTGGCAGTTCGAGCATGACATGTGTCAAGTCAGAAAAGAAACTGAACATACACAGATTTGGTAATATCAACAAACCTCTTGCAGGCATGAGCACAGGACAGCCCACGGGTGTTGGAAGCTGTAGCATCACCTCCTTTAAATCTCTCTCATTTTTCCTCTCCTAGGAAAGAGGTATAGCTTGGGTTTGTTCAGAAAATCTGAAGTCCCTTGAGCTTAACTGAAAGATGTGTCTATTTCCAGGTTTATCCCAAAGCATCTGCTAAAAGCAATTTTGTAGCTAGTTCCTCACTTCATAGACTCTTCCTGGGGACATAAATCTGGATAGCTTGTCCCCCCTTTTTTTTTTAAATAAACAACTGAACAAAAACCTGCACAGAAAAAAATCCCCAAAACAAAAAAACCCCACCCAACCAGATCTAAATCCCCACCCTCTAGTTTCCTCTTTTTACACATGGATGCTGATTGAAGGCAGTTTCTGATGATGGCTGTGGTATTAAAGAGGTATTTTATAATTTCCTTGTTTCCAGTGGTCTCCTTTAATGGAAGGCAGGTGTAAGTGGTGGTTTGTAACCATAAAGCAGGTAGATGTTGACAGTGTGTTTGCCATGTTATCCTCACAAGTTAGTGGGACCAGATGGGATCCACCCAAGGGTGATGAGAGAGCTGGCAGAAGAGCTTGCCAAGCCACTCTCCATCATCTACCAACAGTCCTGGCTCACTGGGGAGGTCCCAGATGATTGGAAATTGGCAAATGTCATGCCCATCCACAAAAAGGGCTGGAAGGAGGACCTGGGAAATTCCAGGCCTGTCAGCCTGACCTCAGTGCCTGGCAAGGTTATGGAGCAGATCATCCTAAGTGCAATCACACAGCACCTACAGGATGGACAAGGGATCAGACCCAACCAACAAGGGTTTAGGAAGGCAGGTCCTGTCTGACCAACCTATTTATGAATAGCTTTATGTTATGAACACCATCTTTTTATAATATTGATGAGTAGCTTTGTTGGACCTTGTTTTTGAAAAGCCTACAGAATTTTTTTTCTTGGATATCAGGATTTGCTAATGGTTTTCCTTTTAAAATGTGTGCATGTAGTCATGATACTGAATCTATAAAAAAGGGTTCCTCTAGTTATATTCTCTTCAACTGTGACATGCAAATTCAATACTTTCAAATTCAGTTGCTAGCTTGATGCATGTAAACCTTAACTGTAATTGGATCGCAGGTGTGGAAACAATAAACAAAACCAATAAAAACGTATATTTTTTTTTTTAATTTCTATGACAGGCAAATTGTTTTTTCCTAGTACTGTCATCAGTGACAGTACAGCTTTCAAATGCATTAAAAATATTTTTGAGTGAAAGGATTAAAGGTGTAACTGATCAGAAAAGTGGTGTTATTACTCAAACACAAAGAGCACCCTAAGGCTGGGTCAACTGTTTAAAATATAGAGGGAAATTTTAGCTAGTCAAGATTTAACAAATGTTTTCTTCACTAAAATGTGAAACTTGGCTGAAAGAGAAACACTTTATAAAATGATATCAAAGTCACTAACCAAGGAAGGGAAAAATGGTTCTGGTGGTGTTGGAATGAGCCATAAGAGGATTTCAGGGGAAAGAATTAACTTGTAAATAACTTCATTCGAAAACTTAAACACATTTGGATTTCTTGGGAATAAGATCTTTTAATCAGTGTGGATTGGAATGGCTAACTTGTTGGTGTATTTTTCAGCAAGTTTTTTGGCAAGAACGTATAGTGAAGTTCTGTATTTGTCAGAATACAGAATACTTCTGAATGCTTAGTCTTCAAAATAAAATTTCTACTTTTAATCCTTCTGAAATGAAAATGAAAATTTCTCTTAGAAACAGCTCAAGTGGGCTTCTGCTTGTATGTGTCAACATCTTGAATGTCAGTAAGCTATAAACTTTATACTGCTATGAATGTTTGCTCTTTTACTCCTTTGCATCTATTCAAGTTAAAATAAGTAATTTTTCGCAGAGTAAATTGTAAACTAAATATCTTTTAAAGTAGATATTTGGGACTTCTATAATTCTAACATTGTCAGAATACAGAAGTGGGTACAACCAGGAGTACAATTTGTAAAGGTATTTGTTGGATGAAACATTTGACGACAAGGAGACATTATTTATGGCCCTTTGTTAAGTAGAAAATAGCACCACATTACTTTTTTCCATGTTTCTTGTTTGGGTTTTCTAGGCCCACCTTAGCCACAATTTCCCATGTGCAGTAGTATCAGAGATGAAAAAGTGAACTTGGTGCTTATAGCAGTACACCTATTTTAACAATATTACCTACACATAGGAAATGTTTGGATTATTTGTCAATGTATGGCTAAATAACAGGGCACTTCTCGTCACAGTCCACTTCGAAACTTGTTTCAGTCATTACCTGTGAAGTTTAAAGATCATTAGTTTTACTTTAAATCATAAAAGCAGAGCTGAGCTCAAGTAAACCAATGCCATATTTTACCAGCCACTGTGCAAAGCCTTTGGTAAAGGCTACATAATCAATAGCTCACAGACAACATACAGTGCTGATACATCTCTGCAGTTAACTGTATAGCCACACAGATAACCATGCAGAAAGGCATCACTATTGCCTTACTCTGTGCATTAGCAGCTTCTGTCATTGCCTGGAAGACAAAATCCGCAATGCTAAGGAGAGTAAGAGGTTTACAGTCTTTGCCATATTTGATGTGGTGTGAGTGTTGGGGAGGAGAAGAGGTCCTGTTGGTATGCTTATCTGCTCTTGTTATTCTCAGTCCTGGGCTAAGGTCAGTTAGGTCCCAAGATACGTTCAATGAAGGGAAGCTCTGTGGTGTGGTATTCTGGGATTTGGTGGAAAAGAGAATTTGATAAGATCTAGACTTTCTTTTTAGAGCAAGACTGCTGTAAAACCACTGGGGTTTTCCACAGAGTGAGCACAGACAATATGGTTGGATGCATTGCATCACTCCATCTTAATGAGATCTTTACAGATAAAACCATACTTACCTGTTGGATGGAGACTTAAAAACTACTACTAATAAGTACAAGAAAGTTTCTGACACTTGGACTTCCTGCTAAGTCATTTAGAATAGTAAATCGTTCTTTCTTAGCTGCAGCAACCCTGTCTCACAAGAAAGGACAGTATGTGCATGCAGGAAAACACACAAGTTTTTCTCCTGAATTTAGTGGCAGCCTCCACTGAGGTTAGCAGAAGGGAATGGCTATATCAGGTTTGGGGCAATTTTATGGCAGAAGTGGCTTCACTGAATTACTCCTGATTTCTGACCCTACCCTTTTCTCCTCACCTGTGGAACCTTCCTATCTCAGTTGTATTTTGTTCTTTTCCTGCAGGAGAAAATACAAGAAAACGTCACAGAGGTAAGAGTAAATCACAAAGGACTGGAAGGTATTTGTGAGTTATCTGTCTCTTTTTGTTAGGGAGTTTGAAAGAGGATTTTCCCATTACCAGGTTGGTGTTTTTTTTTCAGGGAAATGCCATTCTACCGGTTGTTTTCTCCTTTGAAGGTTCATCTTGTACTGCTGCTGCTGCTGCTCCACATCTCCTCTGCTGCTAGTGGTAGTCCTCCCCTCTGATATTAGAGGTAGTTCTCTCTGAGAAAGAATGGAAATATTTGTCATTGAAGGTCAAATCCTAATAAACATAACACTGCTTCTTCTGCAAAATCTGCTGGTTCACTTTTATTGCTTGGTCATGCTGCAATAACAAAATGAATGGCAGGCTTGTAGCGTTACTAATAATCCATGCCTTTGCAGCAGACTGAAGAAAAATAGGAATCCTGTTGATTAACAGTCCATATTACAGCCTCCAGATCTAGTTATCTTACTGCTTCCTTGCAGGAGGGAGGCTCAGTGGGTGTCTTTCACAGATTAATTTTCTTTCTTTGGAACCCTTGAGCTTGGTTGTTTCAGAACATGCACTTTGCAGCACAAAGGTTTTTTGGTGGTGTGCTGATTTGCCCTCCCATGCAAGTGGACTGTTAATTGGTAATTGATGTCATGACATCCTGAACATCTTTAGTTCATGTTGACTTTAATTGGATTTAAGAGTGTAGAGTGACTCAACTCTGCTGAATATGCCCTTTAATATTATGTGATGGTAAAGAGTGCTGGCAGATAAGCCAGTGGGATGATGTGGCGGGTAAGGCATCACGGCCGTCACTCCTGTTTGCTATCACCCTTTGCTGAAGATGATTTCTCTAATACAGCATTGGCAGGACAGGCTGTGTGTGTGCTCATGTGTCACAGCCCCGATAAACTGAGGTGTGGTGGCTTGAGTCGTGGACAAGGTGGGTTTAAGATATGACAGTTTAGTGAAAAATACTGATTCGGAGATTTCTGTGCTGAACTGTGCAAGTGGGCATTGTGTAATGTGAGACACGAGAACAAAGAGAAGGTAAATATGCTGCCAGTTGTTTTCTTAAATGTGGGGCTGACACTGTAGTTTTGTTTGCAATTATACTTTTTCCCCATTTCCCTTGATACTGCCCTGATTGCTAATTAATTATAAACATGTCTCTGACTGGAGGTCTTGAGTTGCTGCAAGACGATTTGTTCTGGGACTAAGATTTTTTTCCAGAATGAATGATTGCGCTCTGTGTGTGTGTGTGTGTGTGTGTGTGTGTACCTTGCACAGCTTGCATTGTCAGTACATTGCCTTGAGTACTGTGTCTTATTTGGGTGTCTCTTCTGTGGACATAACCATGCATTAGAGAGGTTTGTATTCAACATCTCTTTTGTATGGGAGACTTTCTGTGAGCCTCAAAAGAGAGATGAAGTATGTTAACAGCTTCTACAAGCTGAATACATTGTATCAATGACATACAGAGAATACAATATGTCAGTCTGTTTAAATATAGCATTACAGGGGTTTGTGCCCCGTGGGATTTTGAACTTTCTGGGGTTTCCTCTTACTGTTACCTATGCCAGCTGCCTGACTGATGGTGTGCTTCCTTGCAGCATCTGTACATACGGGCTTCATGGCCCTCTCATGTCTAAGAAATGATGTGAGCTCTGCAGAGGCCCAGAGGCCACTCCAGGGACTGGCACACAGCAATTGCTCAGCAGCTACTCCTGATAACCTTGCTCAATGGGTGCTGACTGCCAGCACAGAGGGCTCTGTAGTGCAGGTCTCAAGGTGACCTGCTGCTGTATCTCTCACTTTGCAGCGGACAGCTCGAGAGAGCCAGTGGGTGCCCCTTTTGACTCCTTGCTCACACACACACTCACTCTGATGTGCTTCTTCCTTCTTCAAGCTCAGCTGTAGGTTTCCTGCAGCAGAGTCTCAGGTGTCAAATTTATAAAAATAAATAATTTAATAGAGAGATAGAGCAGCAGGTGAGCTTGAGAGGGTCTCCAGAGAGGGACCCAGAGCAAAGTAATCCATGGGAATTATACCCTTATGATTTACGCACCCTCTTCTCACATGCTCTTCATGTGCCTTGAATGCACCTCTTGGTCCAATGGTGATTTTTGTTCTGGCATCTTCTACCATCTTATTTGGTTATTTCTCAAGTGTCCATGCAGGCCATTAACTGTTCTTATCTTGTCAAGTTGCAGCTTGTCCTAGTGCCTCTAGTCTCCTTATCTTCTGATTTGTGCTTCTGGTGCGCCTGCTTGGTGGCAGAGCCTAGGAAACTAAAAAAGCCCTAGACTTAGGATAAATGTTACTTAGCAACAACCAAAACATCAGTGTGTTATCGATAATCTTCTCATACTAAAGCCAAGACACAGCACTGTACCAGCTACTAGAAAATTTACTAAGCAAATTAACTATCCCAGTCGAAAGCATATCTAGGTGTAACTTCACAGATTGAGGCCTAAAACCTCAGCAAATCCAGGTACTCCTGCTAAGCAAGTGAAGCTAAGAAGGCTAAATCCACACTATATTGTAACTCTATGTATCTCATTATACTTAAAATGTATTTATTTATGCTAAAGAACAAGGATATCAGAATAAGAAATGTAAGCAAAGTGTCCTTGAAATATGACTATGGTCCTGAAAGAAGCATTCTAAGGGGCTCTGCAAAATACTAAAGTGATTTCTTTAAAAAATATTGTACTCTGATTAATAAAGGTTGAGATTTCATACAAACCACAGGGCCAGAACATCAAACTTTTCCTAATCTTCAGAAGGATTTTGTTGTTTCTATTTCAGATTATTAGGCAGGAAACTCGTAAGCAAGATCTTTTCCATCCTTTTCCCCCTTTCATATTCTTTCTCATGTATGTATGTGCTTCTTAATTCAGATTTGCTGTAGCATTTAGTTAATATATTCTTGGAGTGAATAGTGTAGGACACAAGAGGGGAAATCATAAATGTAATGGCATTATTTACAAAAAAAAGTGGAAAGTATTTTCCCCCCAAATTTAGTAGATAGTAAATGTCAAGGTTACTTATACTGACACCTCTATAGATTAAAATAATCCACTATCACTTTTGGATTATTATTGCCTTGCAAGTCTCATTCTAAGTAATCTTTGAGTTAGGCATTTACTTGGGACCAAATCCTGTGAGAAAAATGCCGTACTGGGTTTAATGGCATCTTTTTGTGCTATTAGGCACACTAAAGAGAACTTCATTAGAATGAAGCATCAGTGCTCTCTCAAAGCTGATTGTCTGAGTAAGGACGTTATCACAGAATGGGTAAGGTTGAAAGGGACCACAGTGGATCATCTGGTCTAACTTCCCTGCTCAAGCAGGATCATCCTGGAGCACATTGCACAGGATTGTGTTCAGCTGGTTCTCAAACAACTTCAGTGAAGGAGACTCCGCAACCTCTCTGGGTAATCTGTTCCAGTGTGTGATTGCCAGCACAGTAAAGCAGTTCTTCCTCATATGCAGGCAGAATTTCCTGTGCATCAGTTTCTACCCATTGCCTCTTGTCTTACTGCTTAGCACCACTAAGAAGAGCCTGGCCCCATCCTCTTGACACCTTCCTTATAGGTACTTATAGGTGTTGATAAGGTTTTCTCTCAGTCGTCTTGAAGCTGAACAGCCCAACTGTCTCACCCTATCCTTGTAAGAGAGATGCTTCAATCCCCTAATCATCTTTGTTGCCCACTGCTGGATCTGCTCCAGGAGCTCCATGTCTCTCTTGTACTGAGGAGTCCAGAAGTGGACACAATACTGCAGATGTGGCTTCCCCAGAGCTGAGGGGCAAGATCACCTCCCTTGACAATAGCAATGCTCTTCCTAGTGCGTGCCAGGATACTATTGGCCTTCTTGGCCACAAGGGCACACTGCTGGCTCATGGACAGCTTATTGTCCACTGGGACCGCCAGATCCTTCTCTGCAGAATAAGTCCTCAGGCACCTCTCCTGATCTCCACAATCTTTCAAAGATGTTCATGAGCGGCCTGTTTATGATATCCACCAACTTTCTGAGCTCTAGTGGGTGCATTTTGTCTTCCTTCCAACCTTCCTTTACCCTGGTCTCCTGGGTGAGAGATCCCTGCGGGTTGGTCTTGTCAGTGAAGTTACTTTACCTTCTCTGCATCCTCTGTTACCAGGGTCCCCCCTCCATTTGGTAATGGGACCACTTTTTCCATAGTTTTCGGTTTGCTACTGATGTATTTGAGAAAGCCCTTCTTGTTGTCCTTGACATCCTTGGCCAGATTTAATTCCAGATGGGCCTTGGCCTTCCTTATCTTGTTTCTACTTACTGTGACAGCCTCTCTGTATTCATTCCGAGTGGTCTGACCCTGCTTCAATCTCCTGTGTATTTTCTGCATGTGCTTGAGTAATAACAAGAGTTCTTTGTTCATTCATGCAGTTCTCTTGCCCCCTTTACCTGAATTCTTGCTCATTGGGTTACATCATTCTTGAGCCTAGAGGAAGTAATCCTTGAATATCAACCAGCTCTCTTAGACTCTTCTTCCCTGCAGAGCATATTCCCAGATATGGGATTCTTCCCAGAAGATCACTGAAAAGGCTAAAGTTAGCTGTCCTACAGTCTATAGTTGCAATCTTACTCAGCTGCCCTGCTTCTTTCTTGCCCAGTACTTAACTCCACAGTCTCATGGTCACTACAGCCAAGGCTGCCCCCCACCTTACATCTCCTACAAGGCCTTCCCTGTTGGTTAGTATAAGATCAAACAGCACACCATTCTTTCTGGGATTCTCCACTACTTGTGTCAGAAAGTTGTCATCCATGCTTTGCAGGAACCTCCTGGACTGTTTGTATTTTGCTGTGTTGTTTCTCCAGCAGTTGTCAGGGTAGTTAAAGTTCCCCACAAGAACCAGTGCCTGTGACTTTAAAGCAGCTTCTAGCTGTCTGTAGAAGGCCTCATCCACTCTTCTCCTGATGAGGCGTCCTGTAGCAAACACCCACGATGGTGTCACCCTTACTAATTTGCTCT